GTGAGGAATATTGGGGAAAGGACAACATTGTTGCTGATGCTCATTCCCGTGCCCCTGTGTAATAACAGTTGCTTGTTTTCCTTTGCCTTCTGTCTGCTCCTGCACTCTTAAACTGCTTCCCAGGTACCAGGGTTGCTGAGTTGGGGGACTGACAGTTAACTGGAGGATGCAAGGCAATAGCTGGAGCTGAAAGGGTCGGCACTAGATCATATATGGAATCGGGACAAAACCGGAAGTAACACTCCAACTTTCGAATTATTTTTAGACTAATAAGTCCTTAAATGGTGACTGGTTACGTTTTAGGCGTCTGAGTAAGATGGTTAAGGTTAGGGTTAAGGGTGGGTTGGGGTTATTCTATGGGAATGGCTGGTTAAGTTTAGGCATTAACAGGTAGTTTGTTATATTTACTTCCGCTTCTGTCCCGATTCCATATATGATCTAGTGCTGACCGAGCTGAAAATCTGGGTTGAGGGTGGACCCTCGTCTTAAGGAGGGGGGTGTCATGGCCCATCCCTACCTGAAAGGGGCGGTTCCCTTTCAGACAGGGAGGACCCAGTGATTGGGAACATATGTGCATAAAAATGTGTCTGACTAAATCTTCTCTCTCTCTACTCTGCTCCCTCCAGGTACTGGATCTCTGTTTTGTTGTTTTTTTTTCATAAAGATTAGCTTTGGTTTCACACTCAGACATATACACACATACAGTACACTGGTTTTCATTCACTGACTTGCACACACTACACACATTCCATTGCTCACATACTCACACCTCATTCTTTATTGTGTATATATGTTTAAAATAGACATGTTAAATACCCATACCTGTTTGTCCCTCATAAGTAACAATAATAAAACATGGTTAGCATGTCCCTAGGTAACTGTCATTATAATGTTGTTTTAAGTTATAATTTTAATGAATTTTGAGAACATTGTGTTTTAAATCAATTTCACATGATCATACATGGCCTGTATATGGGTGTTCCATTGCATGGGTTGGAATAGTCTGGCGGGAGGGGTTGTATGCAGATGTGGGGCATTGTTTTTGCTTGGTCCACTGGCTGGCCTTTTTGACAATGCCATTGTTTCTTTGTCTTAAGTCGCTTCCTTGGTCCTACATGCATCTGTGAGTGTTGACCTGCACTGCATTACCAATGGTCTCACTTTGAAACTGTGTGAGTGGGCTGTACTTGTGGGCTCCTCAAAAGGAAGTTACAGCTGTTCCGGGGTCAGACATGCTCTGGACGGAGGCAGGAGACATAACTCCTTGGATAGCAACAAAGTAATAAAGAATGCCAGAGCAATGTCTGTTTGTGTGTGCAATTTGTCCAGGTTCGACTGTAGTTCAAAATCAGCATAACAGAAACACAGTCCCAGCCCAAACTAAGGCCGCATCTGATGCTTGCCCTGTCTGCCTCTTTTCAGGATGGTGGTGCTGTGGGCACTGATACTACTGCGTTTAGCAACGCAGCTCTGCATGTGTATGCCTAGATGACCAGGGAACTCGGATGGGTCATGTTGGTCCTTGTGCAGGCTCGTCGACAGGTATGGCTAGCTCAGTCTCCCCTGACTGAGTCCTGTCGTAGGACCCACCGTACTTGCCTGTTGAGCCGGATCAGTTGTTTGGGACGGCTGCCCAGGAAGCGTTGGACCGGACTGTCCATGCTGGTCAGACTAGACAGCAACTTCGGCCCCATCCCAATTCTCACCCTTGCCCTTAAAAAGCACCCTTGCCCTAGATTTTGCGCGTGCCCGTGGGGGTTGTAGGGTGTCCCAATACTTAGGAAGATGAGGTGAGGGCCTTCACACCCTTAAAAACCACCCTTGAGCACAAGTGAGGTCTGGAGCTCACTTGCGAGCGAGGGTGATCCCATGATGCATTACGATAGTTGTTGGTAAAGTAGCTGTCGGGGAAAGCCGCGCCACAATGAAAGAAAACAGCATGAAACACCCGGGCGTAAGTTTGTGCTGAACGTGAGGAATCTCTGAAGCGTATGCGAGTCATTCAGAGTTTTTAATGCGTGTGGTAAGTCTCTGTGCGTGTACGTGTATGTACATGTGTCTGTCTGTGTGGTACCTCTCTGTGCGCGTACATGTTTGTACATGTGTCCGTCTCTGTGTGTTTGTTCTGAGGGGCCCTCGAGGTGTGTACTCACACCTCGAGGGCCCCTCAGAATTGGGACGGGGGCCTTTCTAGCCTTAGCAGAGTTGTGCGCCCTCCCTAACGGTTTGTGCGCCCTGTGGCGGCCCCCGCCCCCAGTGTTCAACCGCCTTCATGGGATTGGTCTGGTGCACAGCGTTATCCCCAGGACAGGCCTGCCGGGCAGCGGTGGACCTGTTGACTTCAGTGGCCTCGACTCATTGCCCTCTGTTTTTTCCTTATGCCCTGGCGCACACTTGCCCCCCTTTTCCTCTGATTTCGCCCACCCCAGTCCAGAGGGCCCTTCGGGAGGGAATCAGGTTTTTGCTGGAGGCACCGTTCTAGACTGCGTAGCCCTGGTTTTTACTCCCCTAAATCTCTAAATTTAGGCAAAACAAACATGATTATATTTGGAAATGAGAACATAAATACAAGAATAAATGTAACAATTGAAGGAACTAATGCTGAGAGAGTCCAGCGAAACAAATTCCTTGGAGTAATAATTGATGAAAAACTACAGTTTACAGTCACAGGGGAATGAGGCTGCAGACAAATGTTCATAAGCAGTCTCCCCCATAGTTAGTCCTGGTTTAATCCTGGTTTAGCTCCCGTTTTGGCTGTTTTCGAGTGTCTTGTGTCCCCGTGACGGCTCAAGAAAAAGTTAATCTCTTGCTTTTGCCGAATGCATCGAGTCTCTGTACCCACTGCCTCTCCCGCGCCGCACATGCTGTTCCACGCACGGACGTGCATAACCATTGACACGACACAGAAACACAATCTTTAGATCCATGGCTATTATAATAGATCCATGATCCATGGACGCTACGCATGGTGCGCTTGTTGTTTTTGCTTTCCCCAGAAAGTTTTGCGGCTTGTGGTAGGCTGTGATAGGTCGAGAAGCCTTTGCCTACATCCCCCAGAATGCCTTGCGCCTCTGACTCGGCTTTATTTCCTGTGTTTTCTTCCTGTTTTTTCTAACGGAGTGAAGTGAAACTATCGAAGTTCTATCGACCCCGTTTTCTATTGATATCGAACACGTGTTTATCGCAATATATATCGTTATCGTTTTATCGCCCAGCCCTAGGTTGAAGTATTGTGCTGATAAAAGCTCGACAAGAGCTGGACAGACAATCACTCCAGCAACTATACTGTTCACTTTTTCATCCATATTTTAGCTACTGTGCAGAGGTCTGGGGAAATATTTATAAAACCAACATACATCCAGTTACAATATTAAAAAAACAGGCAGTTATAAGTATTCTTTATGGTTTCAGGGAGCATACGAATATAGGATTTTCAATGTAAAAACTTTACAAAAAATCACGGATTTAGTTGACTTTTTAACAGGGGTTTATTATGTTTAAAGCAAGACATATATTATCTGCAAATTTCTAACATTTATTTATAGAAAGAGAAGTGGAATACAACCTCAGATGAACCTCAGTATATACACGCTTGTGAGGACCTTAAACTTTAGTAAAAAAAAGTTTGGTATAGTCTAAGTTTTGTCTTTGTTTTTTATCACATTGTGACATACTGAGGTTTTTGTAAACATCTGGTATTGTGAATAAGTTTTGGATACAGCCAGATAAACGTAAAAACATGGAACGGAACCTATTGTATGAGTTCAAGTTTAACAATGGAAAAATATGTGTAATAGTTAATACGGTTAATAAGTGTATACTTCTTCCCAATACCCTTTTGAGATACTGTAAATCTTATTTTATTTTTAGTTAATACTATACAATGCATGTGACATTGAATTTACTATGACATAGTCAATTCATAGACTTCTTTTGGATGTTTGAAAATCAAGACAGAGCATGGACTCTCATTTGTTGCATAGGCTGTATGTCAGCAGGCTCCAGGACAAAACATTATTTATATATCATACTTTGCGGGCTTTGTGTCTACTATAGAGTAGTATAAGAATAGTATTTATATATACATATACTGTATATGGTCCAGTCCATTAATATATGTAAAAAAAAAATAGTAATGTCTTTTTTTACCTGCCTGACTGACCAAGGCCTAAAGCCCCCTGGCTAGTAAGGGGGCTGATCTCAAACTACGTACAGTAGGATTTAGGAATAAGAAAAAGCATATATGCCTATTCCCTATGCAATCCAATTATTATAGGCATTTTAAATACTGTAGTTATGTTTGCAAGTTCTGACGTAACTTTATATAGCTGTTTAACAACATGGATTAAAGACTGAGCCCATACTCTCGACGATCCAAGCCTCGGGAACTTTTTATTTGAGTGAAAGATTCAATCAAAACGTCAACTTTAAATTATCTCTGGCTAAAAACAATTTGTACCTGGATCAAGACATGATAATGAATTAAGACGTGATTGATTAACTTTGGAAGTAACAATGACAACAATGAAACCAAATGAAATATACCCCAGACGCCAACATCTTTCTTAGCCAGCCTATTTACATTCTCTAGGGTGATCTTAATAAACAAGGATTTACCAGTACATATGTGTTTATTTTGTTTTTCTGATACCTAATCCATTAGGTATTATACTAGCTAAAACTGTAACGAAGCCTTCACACATGGTCTCTTAGGCACCACACGTTCCGAGATTTACATTGAACTGAAACGTGAATGATTCTTGAAAATAATAATGAATGGGCAACAGAACTAAAGCTAAGCCATGAATGGGAGCGAGGAAAGGGAGAAAAAAAACTAGGACGCGCTCGCTCTGGAGCTTATAATGCAATTCCTACTTATCGCCGCCATGGGGCCGTGTTTCTCCCTGTAAATAAAACGCGCTCCAGCCCGGGCTATTTGGTCACATGCTGGGAAGGTTTGAAGTTGACACGCACAAGCCACACGCGTACCGACAAAGTGAATGGCACAACGGAGCGCGAGTGACAGCGAGGCGACAGAGCGGAGCATCAACAACCGAGGACCACTGCGCGCATCCAGAGGCACCCACACGCTGGAGAGAGGCAACGGTGAGAGGATGAGAGCCGTGGGGAGCAACAGCGTCTCTCCACCGGCGTCTTCCAAGCGCTGGTTCCGCTGCCACTGCTGACTTTCCTCCCCGTTCGGCACGACTCTTGAAAGTTCTGCGGCTGTATACAATGATTATAAATGGGTCTGACCTGAACAGCTCCGCCACGCCAGACCCTGCTGACACCGTCCTGAACCGGCCGCCTTGGGTTACCACAACTTTGGGCTGCTTTCTCATCTTCACCATAGTTGTGGACATCCTGGGCAACCTCCTCGTCATCTTCTCCGTCTATCGAAATAAGAAGCTAAGGAACGCAGGTGAGTGTTTGTTAGAATTAGCATGTTGTTTGCTCAAAAGTAAAAAAAAAATACAACAAAACAACAACAAAACATCTGTATTTTCTTACTTACAGCTTACCAGATAGTTGATAACATTGTTCCGTGTGTTTGTAGACAGTAATTGTTCTTTTATGCGTTGAATTTATCGTGTTTTATTTGAATTTAAGGCGCTAGCTTATCATTCCTTCCAAAACGCACGAGCGCCAATAATGCTCAATATAGAACAATATCATCAAAGGGAAGGGGGCGGAGGGATATATTTAATACGCTGTTTTAAAGCTCTGGGGTCTCTCACACACCAATAGACTTTACCCGTGTACGCGGTGGTTGTAATGGGTTTAAATTGACCTCGGACTGGCCGTAGCCTACTTTTGGAGCGGAAATAATTTCTCTGACTTACACCAAGCAAGTGCACGGGCAGCTATAGCCTATAAGAGAAGCGGAGGAGGCGAGTGGAGCCAGGAGAAACACCACTGTTATCGACAGGGAAAGCCCAGTGGTTCACCTCCGCGGGTCTACTTATCCTAATGCTTCCCAGGCTTTTTCCACAATCCGTGCTAACTCCACCGGGGGCTTAAATTCAATAATCGTAATGACAACATATTACATTAGTTTTGCCAATTCTGTGATGGCTGTTTTCATATGTTCACTTCATTGAATTGACAGTTGGTGGGGAAAAAAGGAAATGCCTCAGGATATCGGCAAGAAAATGTATATAGTTTCAATATTGATGTGATGGTAAAACCTTTGTCTGATCTAGTTAAGGAACAATTGCGGGGTTGTAGGTAAAAGCTCTATTCAATCGCGTCTTACAGGTAGCTGAATTCTCACTAACTGTTAATAAAGTTTTTGACCAGTTTAAAATTGTATTTAAGCTGGGCTTCCATATTTATCGCAAACGCATCAAAATCACATTTTTAGTGGATGAAATAAGCAAATTCATAATATAAGCTATGTTCCATTAAACATATAACGTTCTGTATTTTTTTCATTGGCTGAACCTTTTTCTAAATTAAGATAATAACAAAATTATTAAAGCATTTATTAGTAATCAATCATGAGTTTTCTCTCGGTTGTTAGATTACTATAAACTTTTTCCTCTGTGTGGGAATATGTTTTGAATCTACATGCAGAATCAAGTTGATGAGCATATTTCAATCCGTGTATTGTTGTTTTCTCTAAGCAGTTGATGTAGTGTATTATATGCACTCAGAACAAAATAAATGCAAGATATTTTAAATCAAAATAAGTATCATACGTATCAAGTATCTATTTGATAGTAACTAAATACTTTCTCCTCTGACAGAAATATTTGGCAAAACCAAACTAATCTCCATAACAGGAAAAAGAAATGTGTGATTAAATACATTCTTTTGAAAAATGGGAATGAACCATCAGCAAGTCGGAGAACTAAAACGGCAGCATGTACAGCTCACAAGAGCAAGAAAAAAACATGTTTAAATTTTCTGTTGTAAAAAAGCCTCTTTTGAGTAAAGCACTCATGAAATGTATTAGATAACATCTGGTGATATATTCGTAAATTCTGAAATCGCCCTGAACTCCAGTTGGGACTTCTTTGACTATTTGACCTTCATGTAAGCCACTATACATGAATGAACAGTTTGATTAAGAACATGCTCACAGATATATTCACAGTGAATATATGAATTGGGCTAATATGATGTTTAATGTGACATATAGATACATGATTAAATCAATGGAGGATTTGGATCATATATTAAAGATTAGGGAAAATGTATTACATTAAGTGAGCAAAAAGGCTTAACCTTGAAGGTCTATATCTTTGTATGATTTAAATACATGAGCGCCGATAAAACAAATGTAGAAAATTATAAATACCTGCATGTATATAAGTATCACTGCTGTAATGCTGCTGTGATGTACTTATTTCTTGACTAAAGAACTTGGCTAAAAGGCTCTATTATATTGTCAAAAATTTTAAAAGAAAACCTATTTGAGTATGCCGTAGAATGCCTTGAGAGGTAAACACTCATTTTTACAGATATACAGGGATTTCATTGCTTGCCCCCACTGCTTTTCCCTAATGTGTATTTGAGGAAAAATGCTGTTATCTGACTGGCCAGCAGGTTTGAGTATACTTTTATTTTCAAAAGCCTGTATGTTTGTATTTATTTGTCAAACTACAAAAACTCTCTATGTCATCCAATGCATCTTAAATGTGCTGAGACAAGAAGCAAGATAGATTTAGGAAATCTTTGAAGTTGTTCCATTAATTATGACTAATTACATGGAAGGAGGTCAGAATACAGCGTGGAATTAATCACGCATGTATTTAACGTATAGTCAAGGCTGCATTATTTGAGCATGCTAGGGAAATACCAGCTGGGATTTTTGTTGGACCATGCATTTCTATTTATAACAAGCTGATTTTCATTATCGGAGACTGTTTGAAGATCAATGCTTGTGACGTTTCCACTCATATCCATGCCTTTTGGACACTTTCTTCCATTCAAGCACCAAAGTGGAACGTGCTTAACTCGAAGATGTATAAATATACCCTATAAAAGAATGCAAATTGGCAGACGTATTGATTGACAACGTTCATATTTAGTAGGAATGTGATCTCCTTTGGTTGGTTTGTTTTAGCAGCCCTGCTTAGAGGCAATTTGACTTCTGTTTAAAAGTTTAGCTTGGAGTCAGTCAGGATCAGAGGAGTATTTATGCTGTCAGGCAAGAACGTTTGGATTTTTAGCTGGGTTGGTTGTCCAAAATAGTTTAACTCATTGTAATGTTTTAGCATACTGAAGGTGCAAAGTTGTATCATGTATTGTTTGCTCAATAAAACAAGTTGTCAGGCCTCATGTTGATTTGTGGTGCAGTATAGCAAAGTTGTTTCATGCAAGCAATAACATAATCTGCTAGCTTGTGTGCGTCACGGCAGGATAGAGCAGCAAGAGGATTTAAATACATGGAATAGATGCCTTTCTGCTCAGCTAAATATAAATAATTAAAGGGACTTGTAAAATTATATTTAGCATACATTTGGTAGTTTTCAATTTTGGAGACCTGAAATAGAAATGAAAGACACTGGTAATAACAGAAAAAGGAGCTGATGAGGTGTTAAACTCAATAGTAAGGAGGACACACAGTATGAGTTTTACCTCTACTCACTCACTCATGTCCTCAGCTGGTGTGAAAGTTTGTCACAATTTGTATTTTTCCCACCTGTAATCATGTTTACTATTTACTAAACTTTTAATTGAAAAAATGTAACGTAAAGATTGGTCACTAGTGAAAATTGACTGATTGTTTTTTATCTGTCAGTTGTCTGGACATACACATTTGGGCGGCACGGTGGCTGAGTGGATAGCACTCTCGCCTCTCAGCAAGAAGGTCCTGGGTTCGAATCCCGGTCGGACCAGGGCCTTTCTGAGTGGAGTTTGCATGTTCTCCCCGTGTCTGCGTAGGTTTCCTCCGGGTACTCCGGTTTCCCCTACCACTAAAAATATGTCCAATAGTTCTGGCATGCGCCTCCTGTACTGTGCGACCCTGCTCCCATCTCTGTGTGGAGTGAGAGACAAATGCCCAAAAAAACAACAAAATAAAAACAATTTACAATTGTAAACCGCTTTGAGACTCAGATCTGCAGTGAAAAGGTGGTATATAAATAAAGATTACTTACTTACATATTTTTAGGAACAAACTGTTTTATGTTGAACCATTCTTGCAGTATGCAGAGTAGTAACAGTGTGGTTGATAGGGGGAAACCAAAAGTCAAGAGATTATCAAAGATTTCTATTTAGTCTTGTTTAGGGCTGGGCAATAAATTGAATTTAGGCAATCAGCTTTTGAAAAAATCTAATTTGTGACAAATGTGAAAATCTTGAAATTGAATGAAGGATATTGTGAGAGCTCCAGCAGGACATGATTTATACTTGCAATATCAGCACAGTCTGTACAAGACTTTTATAATATGTATTGAGCGGAACGATCAAAAAGTATTTTTAAGGGCAAAGTCTGTCTTCAGTGATTTAATAGAAAATCGATTTAAAATCAAAATCGTCCAAAGCAGGAAATACAATCAAGATTTTACTTTTTTCCCATACCGCCCAGCCCTAGTCTTGATCCTTACTACACTATTACAAGGGTTGTGTTTTTTGTATCATATGTTGCAGTTCTGTTCTGTACACGTTCCTCAGCTGGTGCATGAAATGGCTAGTGTGCTTGCAAGCGTGAAGCGCTGCACCACATGGCGAGCGGTCGGGGGCTGCATGGCCACTGTGAAATCAGCTCAGAGCCAATAAATCATCTCTAGTGTATCTGTTGGTTTGGAGATAAAGACATTTGTTGAATTAAGTGAGAAGAAGCAAGGGATGGCCACATCCAGTTAATTTAGACTTGCTCACACTGATATGATTTCAACGGGCGCCTCTCATCTCTCACATCACACGGACAAGAAAGTGATTGGACATGCCCGAAAAGTGGTTAACATTGAATTTTAAGAGCTGCAGTGGAGTGGGAAATCGGAGGGGGTAGTTAAGTGTGCAATGGATGTCAGCAGTCTCCATTGGCAAACACTTATCTGGCACCAGCTCTATCCCCACCCATCATGAGCTGTCAGCTTCACTTAAAGGAAGTACTTTGTAATAGGGATGTCCCCGTTGACAGTTTAGGCATAAATCTTCCTCTAGGCATCATCAGTCTGCTCTATTCTTCCTGAACTACAGTATGGTGTGAATGGAAGATTATTCACATATATTTGAAGGTTGTGTTTCAATCTGCTCTTGTCTTTTCTCAACTTCTGTGAACAGCTGGGAATAAAAGTTGAAGTTTTATTATTAACACAAAATAATAAACACATGAGTATAGTATAACTGCTGCTTTCCAATAACGTGATCTCATTCAATTGGCTCCATGATTGTTTTTATTCTTCTTTATTTTGATTTAAGAACTGACTTTCAGTGCCCTCTTGTGGTTATGTAACATCGCATCATCTCAACATTAAAAATCTCATTACAGAAATTGTACTAACTATTCAAATCTTTTTATTTTCACGTAGCCCTAAATCACAACAGCAGTCATCTCGAAGGATATTTGTCGATTTGCAAACAACAGATCAGAGAATCAAACCTTTCACTCAGGAAATGCAATACACATGTGAGCCATCGATCCATACGCTGCAGGATGACCAAGATTCATAAATGTCCCAGATCATCACTGTTTTAGATCTTTCTGCAAGGAAAGAACTTAAAAATCAAATAGTCAAATTACTTTCCTACTACAGAAATTCTATGTCATGCAAAAAGTACAGAGACTTCCAAATGAGCGGTCTATGTTTGAAAAGAAAGTGCACTTGCTCTAAAACGGCAAATCTGACATATGCAACCCACCAGCACGTTCCATTCTTGGCACTGCTTTGACGCAGTGTTATATCCTTTTGTCGGCGCTGCTGGTATAATGAACATTTTGCAGCATTAACGCAGATTAAGGGACATTTGCGTGCCTCCAATTAAAGTGGATATTTTAGGTTTTCTAAATATCGTGTCGTTCTTGTCAGGAGCGGAAATTGGCTCATAAATATGTGGGCCCTATAATGAAAATGAGCGTGGAAGGAAAACAAATAAACAAATAAGGATGGTTTTACAGAAATTGTTGATTTCACTGCTTCCCGTTTTAATTTAATCATGAGTGAAGCCCAGATGAAGGTTGGTTTTGTGAGAAACTGTTTTCCTTCTGGCAATGTTTCATTAAGTTGCTTCAAATGTTATAATGGGATTTTTTTTTTGGTTTACACTAAATAAACTTAAAATAAAAGTGGCCTTCAACCGATTCCTGTAACTGCAAAGTTCAACACAATTCAATTCATCCTTAATTCAGACACATTAAAAGGTTCATATAAAACATATAAAACACACAATACTCACATAATTAAGCATACAATTTTGATGCAGTATATTTAGTACAATTATTTGATTACATTGGAGTGGAATCTTTACAAATAGCATTTTAATTAGTGCTGTTCAACGATTAATTGGAGGAATTTCATAGTTAACTCGTGATTTATCGCAAACTTTTATATATTCTTGATATTATTTTGACACTCTTATCTTATCACACTCACATTTGATGCAAAATGTCATACAATTCAATTCTGTCAATAAACGTATGTTTATCATGTAACAAAAAAGCCTCTACATCTACCCTATCTAAGGGATCAAAACAGAATGAAACAAAATTAAGTAGCAAAGTGCCCAAGATTGTTCTTAGTTGCACTATCCATATGTTGTTATTATAGTAGTCTCATCACAGTGAGTTAGCAGGCTAACAGGCAAAACAGGTTTGTGCTAGCAGTTCCCGTTTCGGTTATTTGTAGTTTTTATAACGCTAATAACAACTTCCACAGCAGAAAAACAAAGAAAAACTACAAGTAAAGTTGGTCACGCAAATTGATTGCGCTGTAAAGAAATGACTGCGTTAATATTAATTTGCGTTATTGTGTTAAAAATGCAACATTTTGGACGGCACAAATTTTAATGTCAATATTTTGTCTACATTTGAAAAGCTTCTTTATGTGGCCACACTCCTGCTCTGTGTGAGTTGCCTTTGATTTAAAAATACACTGACAAACACTGCTCTGTTATTTTAAAACTCTAGCAGGCGAGATGACCATGGATTTTTTTGGAAGTCTATTAAACCCCAGCAGCAAGGTTTGTTTAGTGCCTGTAGAATAAATCAGCAGTCGTTGTATCTGTCTGAAGGCTGTATCATGTGATGCCAGTCAGGTCTCCCGCTGTGGCCCCTACGGCTTCCCTCCCACTTAACTCACACCCACTGTGACTAATGGTGTCCTGTTCCAAGCCTTATCTTCACTTGACTCGCCTCGGCTCACCCAGCACGCTCTGTGCCGCTGCCAGGTGAGCGCTGTCAGCACCTTGGCACGTCTAAAGGCAAAGACGAGCGTGAGAAATGTGCCCATCATTCAGGAGACTTTGTTGAGAGGTTTTCAGTGATGAGTAGTACTGTTTGGGGGTTTGGCACGGTTGAAGTTGCCACAACAATTAACAAAATCTGTTGCATGGTGTTGTGGAAATGCAAAGTCTCAAAAATGTGCCAAGATATTATTTAGTATACGTGTAATATCTGGGATACATTTGAATAAAGGTTTTGTTGTTGTAATTAAGAATTGTTTTGATCATCGATTAGTTGACAACTATCTCAATAATAAATTAGTTGCAATGAATCATATTTTTATCGCAAATGCATCAAAATCTAATTTTTAGTGGAGGAAATAAGCAAATTCATAACATAAGCAATGTTCCATTAAACATATAAAATTCTATATTTTTTTCGTTGGCTGAACCTTTTTCTGAATCACTATTGAGGCGACAGTAGTTCAGTTGGTAGAGCATTGGCCTTTGAGCCAGAAGGTCGTGGGTTCGAGCCCACCACAAGACTTTCTCCACCGACTTCCACTGATGTCTGCTGTCGTTTTGGCAAGACACTTAACCTCTGGGAACACCAACCACAGTGGGGCGGCTGCGGCTGTAAAGTCCCAAACTGAAGTGAAGTGTCCTTAGGCAAGACACTTTACCCCCATTGCCTAGAATGAGTCTGGTGTGTGTGTGAATGGTTGGTGGTGGTCGGAGGGGCCGATGGCACATACTGGTTGCCTCGCTTCTGTCAGTGTACCCCAGGGCAGCTGTGGCTACAGTAGTAGTTTATTACCACCCAGTATGGAATGAAAGAATAATGACTAGGGCTGTCCAAAATAGCGCGTTATTAACGCGTTAACGCAAATCAATATTAACGCCGTCATTTTTTTTATCGCGCGATTAAAAAAAAAAAAAAAAAAAAAAAATTTTTTTTTTTTTTTTTTTTTTTACTTTTTATTGCAGACAAACACATATACAGAAAAAAAAATAAACAAAGAAAAGGACTAGTTCAGATACATTGTAGACAGAGATTACAAACAATATGTAGTTGGAGATACAGGGGGCCAAAGAAGAAACCCAGAAGGGCACATAGGAGGGGGGGGGGGGGGTGTGGCATGAAGTGGGAGATGGGGGGAGGGGTTAATAAAAAAGGCAATACAAGCAAACAGTATACAGTCATAGATATACCGAAGGTAAACAGAAACAGCATAGAGTATTCACATGAACAAATTTACAAAATATTTACAGATTGTTTATCATCATCATAATGACACCATGATGTTTCTATACAGTCTATGGTCTATACCCACACATACACACACACACCCACACACACACATTGAAGGGGCTTTTTGTTACCAATTATTTATTTTGTCATCCATTTATTGATGATTTTGCATCAAATGTTAGTGTGTAATATAACACTACACCTTGTTTTCAATAAAAAAAAGCAATTGCACACAGCACGCAAATGTGTGACTAATTTGCGAGTTAACTATGAAATTCATGCGATTAATCGCGATTAAATATTTTAATCGTTGGACAGCACTAATAATGACATGTAAAGCGTCTTTGAGTGTCCAAAAAAGCGCTATATAAAACCGATGCATTATTATTATTAATTTGTTACCGCCCTAGTTTTTACTTTGTTGTTTGAACAACCAACTGGCTTTGTTTTGGTCCACTGCTTACGACCAAACACTGTACTTTCACTGCATTTCCTCTTACATTTGTCTCCATGATCTTGGTGTGTGTTAGTTATTAATTTATCCAACGTTATTCTGCCTTTTTACTGATATTATCTGTGCCAAAAAATGCAGTGTGAGCTGTATGAATTTGGTGAGTGAGTTAATGACAGTGGTAATGGATAGTGGAGGGACTGATGGAATGGTCGACTCTTCCATCACTTCTGAGTGTGGAGCGAATGTATTGTGAATTGTAGTGATGAGAAGATTATCGGATATGAGTGTGTTCACAGTAAAGTGACAATTGAAGTATCTGGACTTTAAAAGGTCATAACTTAAAAACTAAAATTACTTTCATAGATTGTAAAAAAGATTTCAAACACAGACAGATTGAAGAGATAGTGTGGAAAAAATCAAAAGGAAAGATTGACATTAAAATGTTTAGCGACATTTTAAACGACCAAATTAGCCTCTGATTGGACCATTCTACTGTGACGCCAGTTACATAGAAAATAAAATGTCCTCAGTCTGAAAAAGCAGAAGATGAAATCCCACAAGATTTACATGGTTACCATAACAGAAGGAAATCACTTGATATAAAAAGGAAGCGTAAAAAAATTAAAAATAATTTATGAATTAAATGACCCCTGAAAAATGTATAACGGATGTGATGAGGACAGTCCTCTTTTCTCTAAAAATTAAACTTGAGAAAAAAAATAATCTGGTCTGTTTTCACATTTAATTGCTTGACAATATGAAAGTATTACTTTGCATCTACTTTGTGTAAAAAAATAGAATCTCTGAATCAAATGTGGACATCTGAAAATACCATCAATTCCACAAAGCTCATTCCGTCAAATCATCACGTCCGTTACATAAAATAAACAGGGCCGCTATAGGAAGCTTGTCTGATGTATAAAACAGTTATGTTCTAGCAACTTCTAATGGACAGAGGAGGTGCTTGGAAACATGAAAAACATAAAATATCTTCTGATTATTAAAATCTAATTTTTGGCCTTTTGTCACACTTTTGTGCCCTTTAGTGTGAACAAGCCCATATGCATCTATACACGGTTTTGCACATGCACAATGCAAGATTATGTATGTGCCACATGCTTCATTCACGGTGAGTGTATGACCTGCAAATAGGGGCTGAGGAGAGACTGACCTATGTTTTGTTGAGACAGAGGACAATGGACAGAATTTGTGCTGTTGTTGCATGATTTGTTGAAGGAAATGTGTTTAAGGAGTAGTAGGATGTGAATTGTATCGGACTGAAGTCTGAGATTTCCTTCACTAATGATTTCACTGTAATGCTTTGTGAGGCTTTGACATTATTATTAGTACTTGTACTAATCCACTTGTGACTAGCTGTGACCTCACTGCAAACATATTAATGCAAAATGTTTTGTACAGTTTTCTTTTCTATTAAGTTCATGTCAGGCCCTCAGAAAGTTATTGATACCGAGGCTCAAGAGATTGTTGACATAGAGTAAAGCATACCGCCTGGAAATTATCTCATTTGACTGCAAATTAAACAAACATCCATCTGGAACAGCGATGGGAATATTGGTTAAAAATGTGATACTGTCACACATATTTACTCATAGCTCAATAAAAACATCAGGGATAATAGCATAACAAGCAGTTAATGTGTCCACAGCCTGCGTTGGCGCAGAGTTAGCCGTCACTCTTCTTGTTTTGTTGGAGACTTGGCAGAGTGCAGGAGTCACCCGGTGGTTTGTCAGTTTCTGGGGAGATGGCGGTGATAGGCATCAGAGGGCGCACAGCACAGTGGAGCGCTAACAAAGCTCAAGTGCTAATTGGAGACCCATTGCAGCCAAGAGGTCAAAACTTTGCAAACAAGCACTGTGCTTAAAAACAACAGTCATCAATTATCTGAGTGTGCAGGATGAACGTACAAGTGACAAGGTTCAGTAAGAATGGAATTAAAGTAAGGTTATACCTATTATGCATGAGCTTTTAACTGCAAATTATATATATATAATTGTTTCACATGAAACTAAAAGCTTTAACTTTAATTTGATTTCCTCAATTTATTTGTAATTGTGCCTTGAAACTGTGATGCAATTTGGTGCTTGTGATATTGTTTTTAATTACAAATCCCAAATAAATTGATTCTTGAATATTGTATATGTTTGTGAGTGCGACTGTGGGACAACGGATATAAATTTGTTCTGCTGTTTATTAAAACATTGTCCCAACCAAATAACTGTAATAAAAAAGAGATAACATTAAGCATTTAAGGGTTTAGGATGAAATGTAAAGTGAAAGTAAATAGATTACTTTAGTATTCAGTGTGTTCATTTGGCAAAAATAATATCATAATTTTAGAAGCTTGGTAGTTTAGTTGATTGATTAGTCAAAAATCTCTTTAGATATTGTTATCAATCCAGTTGCAAAGTAAAATAGCACATGCAATTTTTCTGGGTAGTTAAATTCAAAAGGTGAACCTTTTAGGCTTTTGGTACTTCCGAACATCACTAGATCGATTTGCACATTGAGTGGCATTGTTCTGGAGGAATAGTAGGATACTTAAAGCATTCAAGTTACTATGTCGTCCAATGTCCTTGGGAAAAGACTAGTAAAAATTAATCAATATCTTTTTCACACTTTGAGGTTCAACAGTTTCCTGAAGAAAAAAAGACAATGACTAAGTGGATAAAGATCTCCATTCCCCCGCCTCTCTCTTAAGTTGCACTATAGATTAGTTAATGTCCCGCTTCTCAGTCGGGACATGAAAATGAATTGCCTGAGAGCGTGCCCGGGGATCTTCTAACAGCTAATAATTTAGTGTCGGCATTAGCACACTGCTTTTAGTGTTGTGGTCTACGTGGATGCGAAGGACTTAGATTCTTTATTGCAGATTAACTTCAGGGGTTTTCAATCAGCGACTAGATTGACTCTTTGGGTCACACTAAAGCCAATATCTTCAGTTGAAGAGCTGGACAGTGTCACACTCAGGGCCTTATAGACGGACTGCTCCAAATTGATACAGATAAGCAGAACCAGTTGCCAGAGGCATTCAACTCGTGTGTCAAAGCGAATTCACTTAATTTCTTCGAAATGCATGTAAACAGCAGTTGATGAATGACCATTTTTTATCTGTATTTCTAATGTTGTTTTAACATGAATCCTAGTACAAGCCCAGTTTCGTATTCATACAAAAAGCATTTTATGTTTGTGTTTTTGTCTCCCCCCCCATAATTTAGGCCTATGAGCATCAAATAATGATTACATCGTCAGTTCAATTTGGAGAGACGAGAAAACAGGAAGTTTTGAGTATTTTATTGGGAGGAGGTTTGGCGCCCTAGGCCCCGGTGCGGCCTTCAGATCGGAAAGGTTCCTGCGCTGGAGCGCGCACAATCCCCC